GAACATGAGATCAAGGAGTTCAGCAACAATGAAACTTCGATCGTTGGGGGATTTCAGTTTCGTGTGAGTAGAAGCGATTTCAGAATCGAAAGCATGGAATTGGAAGAAGGATTGGAGGCAATTCGACGGAGGTGAGCGTCGGAGGATGAATCGTAGCTTTGAGCGAGAGAGGAAAATGGGGAGGAAAGAGAGAGAGAGATGAAAATGTATTTTATCAGATATTAGATTTAATAAATCATTTAATTATACTTTTATTCCTATAATACCCCTGACTGAATTAATTAAGATACTCCTCCTTCTTTTTTTGTCTACTTATTTACAAAAACGCCACCTTGCATCTTGACCCTTCCTTTTTTTGATCCAACGTTCCACCTTTAGTTCTCGGGAAACTTTGAGTTCTCAAATGATCATTCCTATCTCTCTCTCTCTCTCTCTATATATATAATATATATATATATATATATATATATATATATATATATATATATAACTAACCAATTGGGAAAGATCCTCACTATTTCCAGAGATAATTTTTATACACATGAGAAAAATATGTGTTAAAATGAGGAGAAATATATATTTTTTGGTTTGTCTATCCTTTGATTAGGCCAGTGATATTTTTACAAGCCATAAAGTTTTTGAAGTCAACGTGTAGATTTTCGTAGTCAATGATCCCAAAACGACGTTGTTTTGCAAAAAAAAAAAAAAAAGGAAAGAAAAAAAAAACTGCAGACTACATTGATTTTATTGAATGCAACGCCTGCAAAAATTATGGCTATTTTGAGTATTTTTCAATTTATTGGCTATTTTGTGAAAAAACCTTAGAAAAATGTTATTATGGTCAATTTTTCTCATTAGTTTTTGTATGATTTCTATTATAACTTTAAGTACATAATACTCATATAATTATGAATATATTTTTAGACCGTATTTTTATTTACAAAATAATATAATTTTCCTAAATCCGACATAGATGAGAAATGACATATTTTTGGTTTCAAAACATGCTTTTTATTTTTTATATTATATACAAAATTAACCACCGCGCGACTTATGAACAGTGCGATACCAGAGGCGACTAATTGTCGTCGGCTTCGACTGTGTCATTGGCTTGGTGGCTTCCCCCTTTTACATCAACTTCTTCTCTATCTTCTATTGAACACTTCACTCTCTAAATCGATTCACTGAAATACCGTCTCATGCTTTCTCTCTTCACAGTAGCACAGTAGCACCTGTGCTTCCTTGGTGACTTGTGATTTTTATTGTTTTTTACCAAGATCGGGGTAAGACGATGTATTTAATTTGTGATTCCTTTGATGGGTTCCGATTTTGATTGTTCTTTATGAAGATTGAGACGATGATGTGTTTAATTTAATTTTCATATATCCTGTCACAACTAGCATTTTAGCTAGGAAATTCTATTCTCATGTAAACATTCATCTAGTGTAATGACTTGTAATCTAAGTGAATATCATGCCCTATGCTCACTCACTACATCTCTTATAGTCAATTATGTGTTGAAAACCCTAGAAATCCCGGTTCAAGCTCATTATGGACTAGGACTCTCTTATTGGGCCGATAAACTTTCAACTTGACTATGATGGGCCTAGAAACCCTAATTGGGTTCTAATTGGACCCACATTCATAAAACTTAACACTTTGAGCCATGTGGGCCTAAAAATAATTCCATTTACCCAAATGGGCCTTGTTGGGCCATAAATAATTTAATTAGCCCTAATGGGCCATAAACCCATTCCTTTATACAATATTGGGTCGTGAACCTCCTTAAGAGCCCAATGGGCCGAGAACTAATTATTTGGGCCACATAAGATCATGACTAAGCATGTAAGGCCCAAGCTACCCATCCTTTCCTCTCTTCTTAGCCTCTCTCGGCCCAACTATGCAAAAAAAAGAGAAAATGATTAATTAACCTAATACATGACACCTCATTTTTGTTTAGGAGATAACCAAGCTTATTACACACCATGTAACAAGGCATTCTCATATCTCCATGCAACATCACCTCAAATCTCTCTATTTCCCCCTCTTTTCATATCTTCAGCCGAGACTCCCACCACCTCACCTCCATTTCTCATTTCAAGCACTTTCAAAACTCTCTAAAAAGAACTCCTCCTTCTTCCTCTAAATTTTCGAGATTTATGGGTAATCTCCAAGAAGTTTTGCACTAAGGTCATCATCTTTGGTAAGTTCATACTTGGATCTATGGTTTAGTTTCTTGATTACTTCAAAAATCTCTTCTTAACTCATACCATTTCATGATCTGGCTTCTTAGAACTCATCTAAGTCCAAAAACTTCTCAAGGAGCTTGCTAGGGCCGAGAATCACATCATCTTCTTCCATTTCTTCTTCAAACCGAGAACCACAAAGCAAAGTGAGTTCATACCCCCTTGTTTTCGGTTTTATCTTGTTTTGGGGGAGGATACAAGTCCTTATGTGTTAGATCTATGTATTTGTGCATGTTATGTGTGTTCTTCTTGGTTTAAGTTGTGATTATTTGATGAAACACTATAGATCTCGAAAATTCTAACCAAAAGTTGTGATATGTGTAACTAAAACACTTCAAACAACATACTATGAAGTTAGATGGGTTTAACATGTGAAGATCCATAAGAAGTTAAACAAAAATCTTGAAAAAGGGCCATTTTTGAACAAATAAACAAAAATATGAGATTTTATGACACTTTCGGTTTTACAAGGACTAAAAGAGTCACTTTTATACAAAAATGAGTTACTATGATATTTTTGGGGGTAAAAAGGGACCAAAAATGTAAATTTTTGAACATTGGGCCATATAAATGGGCTTTTTGGTTTTAGTGGGCCAAAAATGTAAAAATCTCGATTTTAAGGAGTAAATCATCATTTGACTCAAGTTTGAGTCCAAAAATGTAAACCTACGGTTTCATGGGTTAACAATGAAATTTTTTCCAAAGTTTGGGCCAAAAGCGTAATTCCTATGCAAAGTGAGATAAAAATGTAAATTTTTATAATCATGGGCCAAAATGTCATATTTATAAAATTTTAGTAAAATATGTCATTTTATTTAAAAAATGGGCTAAAAATGCAAATCCTTACAACAATGGGCCGAAAATAACATTTATTATATATTTTGGGTCAAAAGTGTCAATCTCTATATAAAAATGGGCCAAAAATATAACATTTTATATACATTTGGGCCATAAATGTAAATTTCGAAATAATGGGCCTAATATATCCATTACATGTTCATTTGGGCCTTAGTGGCCCATATACATGTTTGTTGGGCCTAATATGTTCATTTCATGTTTATGGGGCCTTAGTGACCCATATACATGCTTTTTGGGCTTAAATTAAGCATTTCATGTTAATTGGGCCTTAGTGGCCTATATACATGCTAATTAGGCCTGAGTTATTCAATATATGTTATTGGGCCTTGGTGGCCCATATACCTGTTACTGGGTCTCGTACATTCGAATACATACTTTGGATTTGAAAACTTAAAACATATACGTAAAACATTATACAGCGTAAGACAATATACTTGTAATACATTGCTCGTGAACAAGTTGAGGATCTAGTGAGACTTGTCGGTTGACACCTTTGAGTGTATGATCGTAGCCTGTAGTTATAACCAGAGTCTCCTGGAGGGAGAGCGGGAGTTTGTGTATAGATCTATACGGGGTGACACCCCACACCTGAGCTGTTCGCTATAGCTAGACTAGGTCAGTCTAGGGTGACAAACTTTACCTTCGACAAACCGGCGTTTGATACGTCATGACAGGCGAATTAGTCTTTATTATGCATGGTTGTAACGGCGCACATAAAGATCAATACCATCAGAATACTATGGAATACAAATACAAATCGGGGCGACACAAAGCGTACACACACTAATACGTGGTCTTAGGGTTTTAAGACTACATTACTTTTATAATTAGAAAATATCGGATTTTCTGGGGAAAAATATATATTTACACACCACCTTCAATTTACAATAGAAACAAATAGGATTTTCGGGAACTTATTCTTACATATTTTCTACAATGGAAACCACACATGCATTAATACTTGATTTGATACATCATTTTTCAAACTCTTTTGCAGAAAATATCGGATTTTCTGGTATTTTACTATCGATACAAAATTTTTCATTAAATTACACTTATGAACTCACCAACATTGTTATGTTGACCGTTTTTCAAAATAATTTGTATTCTCAGGAACTCGTTTAGCGGAAGAATCAACAAGAATATGGATTTTGTTTTGTGTACTGTTAAACATCGTACTATGAATGTTATGGTCATGTAATTTAAAATATTGTACTTGATGTGAATAATGACAGTTGTATTATATTATGCATGATGATGATGATGTTATGTTTCATTTATATTCATTGTAATGATATTTCAAGATGAAGTCACGCACAAGCCCCAGACGTTTCCGCCGTCTGGTTCGGGAGTGTGACATATCCTGCTTCTTAAATATGAATTATTCAAATGTTCAAATTCTCATGAATTTGATAAATTGTATGACATTTTTATTGAAATTGGTGCAAAAATAACATCAAATTTTAACTAATTACACTATTTTAATCGCCATAAATTACTAAATTCAAGGATTAAACATCATCAAAATATAAAATTCAATAAATTATTTATTTATCTCTTTAAATTATTAAACAACTTTACATAATTAATATCCGTCCTATAATTTTGTCGATAACCAATATGATAATCCATAATTAGGAGAGTTTTCTTAACCTCTCCTTTATTAAATTATAAATTGAACATCACCCCTCCTTTAAACTTTAAAGCACTCACCAGCATTTATATATTCTCTCCAAAACTAAAGACTAGGGTTCATCAGTTAGAACCCTCCACTCCCACTTCCTTTCTTCGTCACTCTTTTTTCTCAAGGCGACAAACAAAATCCATTTTACTTGAAACCCCACAAGTTTCATTTCATAGAAAAAAGTTGAAAATTTTATTGTGTTGCAAGGCAAAATGGTGGTGAATAAGCCAAGAATAGTGATAATCGGGGCGGGAATGGCAGGTTTAACAGCTGCAAACAAGCTCTACAAATCCAGTTGTTCAAAAGAAGCATTTGAGCTTTGTGTTATTGAAGGTGGGAATAGAATTGGAGGTAGGATTAACACTTCAGAGTTCGGCGGTGACAGAATTGAAATGGGTGCTACTTGGATCCATGGAATTGGGGGTAGCCCAGTTCATAAAATAGCTCAAGAAATCAATTCCTTGGAATCAGACAAGCCATGGGAGTGTATGGATGGGTTTCTTGATGACCCAATCACCATAGCTGAAAATGGGTATGTGTTAAATCCATCTCTTGTTCACCCTATTTCAAATCTCTTCAAAAATCTAATGGATTTTGCTCAAGGAAAAAGGAAATCAACTCTGGTTGGAATCGGGAATGGCGGAGATGGGATTGGGAATATGAGTGTTGGTTCTTTCCTTAGAAACGGTCTTGAAGATTACTGGGAAACGGAATCAAGAAAGGGGAGAGACGATGTGAACGGGAATGGGAATTGGAATCGGAAGTTGTTAGAAGAAGCAATTTTCGCAATGCATGAAAACACTCAAAGAACTTATACAGCTGCTAATGATTTGTTGAATCTTGATTATAACGCAGAGAGTGAATACGTCATGTGTCCTGGTGAAGAAATCACTATCGCTAAAGGATACTCAAGCATTATACAATCATTGGCATCTGTTTTACCATCTGGCGTCATTCAATTAGGTAAAAAAGTTGCCAAAATTGAGTGGAATCCCGAATGTGAATTGGGAATAACAACAGAAAATGGTCATGAAGGTAGAAGACCAGTGAAGCTACACTTTCTCGATGGTACAACTCTATCAGCCGACCATGTTATTGTCACAGTTTCATTAGGTGTACTCAAAGCCGGAATCCGTGATTCCAACGATTTGGGTATGCTAAAATTCAATCCCCCGCTTCCAGATTACAAGATTGAAGCCATTTCAAGACTTGGGTATGGTGTAGTCAACAAGCTTTTCTTGCAACTAAGTCCGGATTACACAGATTTCGACCAATTCCCATTTCTACAATTCCTATTCCACCAAAGTGATTCCGAAGTTAAGGACCCGAGAATCCCATGGTGGATTAGGAGAACAGCTTTTGTCTCACCAATTTATAAGAAATCAAGAGTGTTATTATCTTGGTTTGCAGGTGAAGAAGCACTAGAGCTAGAAACACTCCCAAATGAAGTGATTCTTGATCAAGTCTCCACAGCTTTATCTACCTTTTTGCCAAATTCGTCGGATTCCCATGAACAATGTAATGGGAATGGAATCAAGAACTCATCAAAATTGAAACTTGTTAAGGTTTTGAAGAGTCAATGGGGGCATGATCCACTCTTTATGGGGTCATATAGTTATGTTGCAGTTGGTTCAAGTTGTAGTGACATGGACACATTGGCTGAGCCATTACCTAAAACTGGTTCGCAGTCAGAGTCACAGTCACATCAGCTTCAAATTCTATTTGCTGGGGAAGCAACACATAGAACTCGTTACTCTACAACTCATGGTGCTTATTTTAGTGGTATTAGAGAAGCCAATAGGCTTCTTGAGCACTATCATTGTATGGATTAGAATACTATAATGGGATGGAGGGGTATTTTTGTAATTTCCTTATTTTTAATTTTTTGAGATTACCCTTTTCTCTAGTGACTATCATTCTCAATGTTGGGGAATGATAGGGAGAGATGGAGACATTTGCAAGATGGGTAGTGAATGATTTATAAAGAAGCTTCTTTTTAGTTTTATATTGAGCTTTTCTTGATATCTTTGGATTTTATGTTTGTAATTATCTTTAATCAAACCCTTTGTTGATTTCTTTGGATTTGTCATTATGTTTGTAATTATCTTTAATTAAACTCTTTTCCTAAAAGCAAAAGTATAACATTCTAATACTGTTATGTCGACTTGTATATCATGCAATTACATGTTTATGTTGCTATAAGTTTTTCATCTAAAGATTCGAATCATCTCTAAAACGATTCCGGAGCTTTTGATCTCAATATCCCGATAGACATGATCCGTTGAAAACGGTCCTTTGGTTTTCGAATTTTCTCTCTTTATGTCCTTTTTCAGTTGGTATTAATTCTTTAAGTGTTTTTTCTCGGCTAAAAAGCATAATATCTTGCAAGAAATATTGATAAATAAATAAAAAATGAAATCGTATTTGACACTTTTTGTCTATTTGTTGTCTACTTTTACCCTTCAATAATTTTAGAAAATTATGATTCGTTTACAACAAAAAAGTGAGCATTATTGTTTGATAAATTAATTGTTTCTTTCTGCATATCTTAGAGTGATCAATATTTGTAACTATTATAAGCGATTTTACTTTCACTAAACTACTTTAGCTCTCTTAAATTTATCAAAATGATTAAGACATATAAAATGGTCTTGAAAACGGGAGTGCTAACAATTTGTAAGTTTACATCGTGTGTTGAAGAACTTGAATTTGGGAGAACGAAGGAAATCCGACTATTTGTGTAAGGTGAAGATGAAGGTGGTGGTACTTTTCCATCCAATCCATGGTTTGTGGGCATGGAGCAACTCATGGTCGTCGCGGTGGTGGAGGCGTTCCACGAAATGATGGAGTCGATCTACGAGATCCACATGACATAGAGATTAAACACTTGCAACAACGAATCCAAAAAACTTGAGTTGCTACATCAAGACTCGTCGGACGAAGAGACTGAATCGGAACCGAGCGTCTTGGACAATGGTGACGAGATGGTCAATCTTTTTGTAACATCCTGTTTCGAGAAGTTCTTATTTCAGGATTGTGGACAATAAATGGATCAAATGGAGGCATTGGGCTTCAATGGAATGGAGTTTAGACTCTATTGGAGGTGTATGATGTTGGATAAGTGATTTAAACCTTGGATTGTTCAATGAAAGCTGAGGGGTAAAATGGGAAAGGTTATGTTTCGGGCTTCTTGCATAAATTAAGGATTTTAGTTCGAGATGTTTTTACTCATAAATATCAAGATTGAACTGTAGAGCTAGTCAATACCTTTCCGTGCATATAAGGATCATCGAAAACGGAGTTGAAACGAAGAAGTTATGGTTGTTTGAAGTTAAGTTGGAAAAAGGTGTTGGGTACCAACAAAACAAGTTAAGCACTTCACACAAATATCAAAACACAAACTTCGGTAAACACACAAAACTTCTGAAAAACGTAAATCAAAAGAACACGATATTTAACGTGGTTTGGTCAAGGTGACCTACGTCCACGGGCGAGAGAGAGAGAGAGAGAGAGAGAGAGAGAGAGAGAGAGAGAGGCTAAGAGAGTGTGTTTTAGTGCATTCTTTGAAGGAGCTTGAGGAGCAAAAGGCTTGGAACGAGAAGGAGTCCTTGGATTCAACATTCTTTCAGTGTTAGCAATCATTTGGAGGTAAAAATCTATTACCTTGACCACTTGTTTGTTAGATCTCTCCATTAGGGAGTTTATGGCCAGTTCTACCTTCTTTTGAGTCATTTAGTTGTTTGAGCATGCCTTGAAGATGAGGCTTCAGATCTGGACAATATTAGGTCCCTTAGGCCTAAAGATTCAAGCTTTATCAAGCTTTGGCCAACTTCCATGCCTTAAACCCTTTTGTTGAGCCTTGGTTTGGCAAACTTATCCCTAGATATCATGCATGGACGTAAAGATTGCAGCTTTACGTGGTATTTCAGCCTTTGGAGGCTAGATCTAGAGTTTGGGGCTTGAGTCTTGCTTAAAGACGTCTGAATGAGAGAATGGATTGAAGGAACTCGACGAGTTGGTTAGGGTTTTCCTAGATAGTCTGGACGCGTTACGAATTCGGCGAGTTGGAGAGACAACTCGGTGAGTTGAGTTGGATTTTCTCGATTTTTCAGAAGGAACTCGACGAGTCGCACAGATGTACTCGAAGAGTTAGGTCAACATGGACTGTTGACTCGAGTGTTGACTTCCGATTGAATTTTAGGGTTTGGTCAAGTATGGACTTAGGAGACCATGGAGGGGTAAAATGGTCTTTCACCCTTTCCGAGGAAAAGGAGTTAGCTTAACATCTTGGAGTTGTTATTATAAATTGTTAATTAGAGATGATTATGATATATGTAGGCGGAGTCTAGACCTACCATTAAGTACGAGACATTCTTGTTCTACCTACGAGGTGAGTCTTCTCACTATACGTACCTGAGTGGTAATACTGTGTGACCGAATGGTCTTGTTTGAGTTATCGACCGGAGGGTCTTATGTGCTTATACTGAGTTATGTGATATCATGCATTTTGTCTTGTGATTTATGCTGTATATTATTATGTGCCTTACTGAGTTAGGATCGGAGGGTCCAAACCGAGTTGTGAGACCAGAGGGTCTTCACTGAGACATCGGACTGCAGGGTCGGACACGAGATGTGAGACTAGAGGGTCTTCAATGAGACACATGACCGGAGGGTCCCTATCGAGATATAGCCATGAGAGGCTAATTAATTGTGCATGGTATTTTGGGGAACTCACTAAGCTTTGTGCTTACAGTGTTGTGTGAAATGTGTTTCAGGTATCTCTCAGGATCGCGGGAAGGCGCCGACATGATTGTACACACCAGCTAGAGATTATGTTTTGAGGATTCTGGGATATTGTCAAACATTTTGTTGTCTTGTGTTTTGAACAACTTATAAATGTTATTTGGAGAAATGTGAAACTGTGTTGTGGGAGGTTTTAAAAATGAAACATTTATTTGAAAATTTAGAGTGTTACAAGTTGGTATCAGAGCCTTGGTTTGAGGGATTCGGATGTACGCTCCGGTATGTCTGGACTAAAACTGAGGATTTTAGAAAATTCTCTAAAAAGAAATGATTTTTCTAAAACGAGTAAAATCTTTTAAGAGAAAACAAGATGAAGCAGTGTGTACAATCAGCCAGAGCCCGAACGGTGATTTCCCAAAATACCATTACTTGTTTATATTATGAGATGAGATACTTATGAGATATTAGAGCTGCATGCTAGATGATAGGCTAGGTATTTCAAGAATTTAGAGCTAGAGTTGCCTGATTCATGATGCTTTAGCCTAGGGGGATGCTATTGATTGATATTATCTGCTATTTGCTCTTTGTGTGTGTGCTAAGTAGGGGTACATAGTAGGAATCTTTTAGAGAGAGTCTTGAGTAATCTAGGAGAGATACCTAGATGAGTATTGAGGAATCTATCGAGAGAGTAGTTTGATATCCGTGAGGGATGAAGTACTTGTGAATTAGGATCCTAGGAGGAGGACTTGGGGCGACTACAGGTTGGTATGGAAGGTAGTATTGGGCCCGTACTACTGAAAGCACCGGATCTGTATGCGACCCAAGTAAGAACCTTAGGATGCTAAGGAGCATGTAAGGGTGGGTAATTGAGTATGCGCTTGAGCCAGTCTCTGATGATTTTTGTGTTTGTATTTCAGAGAGACTATGGTGATTACCCGCAACAACCCCAGGGGCAGTGGTACTAGTGACGAGGAGATCCGCCGGATCATTGCTGAGGAGGTGGCCGCAACTATCAGGGAGGCCATACCAGAGATGTTCGGGTCTATTAACACCACACTGATTGAGACTTTCGATGAGCGATATGTTGTTGTCACAGAGGCTGCTACTGTTGCAGCCACCGAAACCGTAGCTGCTACGCTGCCACAGGGGGTGACTCGTTGTTGTTCCGAGAGTTCAGCAACACGAAGCCACCAGAGTTTGACGGGACCCAGGACCTGATTTCTGCCATTATGGATCTCCGATATTGAGGGGTGCTTCTATACGTGTTCATGTCCGGAGCACTTGAGAGTTCGGTTTGCACTGAACCAGCTTCGCTTGGGAGCGAAGGACTGGTGGAAGTTCGTGATGACTGATTTTACTCCTGCAGATCATGCTGCAGTGACTTGGGAGAGGTTTACCCAGTTGTTCAGAGATGAGTATGTTCCCCAGGTGGAGAGGGAACGTTTGGCCTAGGAGTTTTTGTCTCTCAAGAAGAAGACATAAACAGTGACAGAGATTACATGGATGTTTCATGAGAGGGCGTTGTTCTGCCCTGAGCACGTGTCTATTAAGCAGGCACGTATGAGTCGGTATTTGAGCATCTTGAGGAGAGATATTAAGGAGTTTGTGGCGAACTCGTCATATCGGATATTGGCTGAGTTGCAGACCAATGCCAGGAGGAGAGAGATTGAGCTGGAGATTCAGACCAGAGAGGAGGGAGAGCCTCAGGGGAGAGACAGGAGGCCGCTGCAGTCACAACCGACGACGAAGCGGGCTAAGCTCGCTGATTCGAGAGCAGGAGGCCAGAAGGGCCGCACTTGTGGCAAGTGCGGCAAGAGCCATGAGGGATCTTGCCGGGCACGGATTTGCTGCAAATGTGGCAAGGAGGGGCACATGGCAAAGGACTACCCCAAGGGATTTTCGTTTTGCTTCCATTGCAACCAGACTGGCCACCGGAAGGCCGAGTGTCCTCAGCTCACTCAGGGACCAACCCAAGCTTCTGCTCCTGCTGCTTTGCGTGTTACTGATGGCCGGCCGGAGAAGGCCGAGACTCCGAGAGCTCGTGGGAGAGCATTCCAGCTGACTGCAGAGGAGGTCCGCGCGGCGCCTG